CTCAAGGCCGCCACAGCATGTGGGGTGACGTGCGCGCAATCGATGTTTGTTGCTTGTCTGGGGCCACCAGCGTCAGGGGCCCGCTGTGGCCTTGGACACTGGGGACTGCTCTGGCCTCACCGCCGTATCCTGCTGGCATTAGTGTGAACAGTGGTGGAACACTGAAAGAACTTGGAGGGGATGGATGGTGGTAAAGGTTGACTGGAATTTAGACATAGCAACCAGACAAACGTAACAGAAACATGGCCGTGAAACTCTTGTGCATTGAGTATAGAACCGCTATGAATTGCATTACCAACACCAAACATGAACCAACACCCAGCATGCTCACAAACCACGATATCGCACTTTGGACCATGCACGAATGGATGACCTTCGGGCGGCGTCTTAAGCCTGGGCCCTTGCAGATCAGGTCAACTTTGGTGCCAAAGTCTTTGCCTTAGGATGCAGTGGCGGTCCTTTGGGATTGAGGGGCGGATGATAGGAGTGATTCGTCTTTAAACAGGAATCTTCCCGACAAACAAGTGGCAACAGGTCACAAATGTTAAGCTCAACCCAAATCTCGGCAGCCTGCTTCTCGCGTTTCTTTTTTCCTTTTTCCGAGGCTTCCATTTTTCGTTTGAGCAACATTGGAGCCGGGGTGTCTCGATAGAATCAGCGGAGCGCTGAGCACTCTCGATAGTTTCCTGCAATCGAGGGGCCGTGGACAGCGAGAAGGACATCCGAATCTCTAAGGTAAGAGACATGGATATCCCAACAACGAAACCGCACCGAAGGTGTTTGCCCGGAATGGCCGTTTTGTTTTATCATGTTTGAGCGACTGAAACACAAGAACGGTCCAAGGAACCCAAAACAAAAGAAGGGTCCAAGGTCGTTTTATGTGGCGTCTTTCTGGAGTACCTGCACCATTTGATGTCCCATGCTTCTCCAACTCGGTTTTTCCGGGGTGTCCGCTCGAGGCCTTGCAGCCGGGACCCTCGGGTTCCCGAGGGAATCTGACGGACGTTGTGACAAGCGAAGCCAACGAACGCGGCCGTGGAGTCGGTGGCCGGAGCAACTGCTGTGAACTGTGAATCATTAGGTCAGGAGATCAGACGCTACAGGAGACTTATTTAGGTTCTTGGTGTTTCTATAACCACCTACGCAAAGACCGGGGCTCCTGACTGGAATCATGTTGTGTTTGCTTGCAGGGAGGATGGTTTCACATCCATCCCGGAGGCGCTGACTGCCTGTGTTGGAGTCCCATGATACAGACAAATACACAAAGAGAATCAAAGAGAATTCATTGGAGGTCTTGCTCAAAAGTCCACCACAAACTCAGCTGGCTACAAGCCAGTTTTCGTGGAAATTGAGGACTCCAGGGTTTCGGAGACAAGTTGCAAACTTCCAAAGAGTGCAGGGAGGTGGGTGCTTTTCACGAAAGCTAGAGTTACTCTTGCTTTAGCAAGTTATTGCCTGGGGGATGGAATCGGCTACCCAGTGAATTATCCACTGCTAGACCCCCCCCTCCGCGGGTTCAACTCCGCTCTTGGATTTGTCAGATTTGGGGGCATCATAGTTCTGATAGCATCCGTTTTGGGAGCATCTCCATTCGTTTCAAGGCCATGTAGATGCAGCTAGCTTTCGTCACCAACCCCGACCAACAGCGAACGCGGCGGAACGGGGCCAGTTCTGCTGCTCTCTGGGGACATCGGTGCTTCTTGCTGGGCACCGATGGGTCTCTCGGCAGGCAGGCTTTGCATGGATTCTTCTTCGCCCCCCCCAACTGGTCTTCTGGATCTTACACCCGCGCATATATACTTGATTCTTTTAAATACTTGGTTAAAGAATTGGGTGATCTACATGATACATGGGTTAAAAACTCTCCTGTTGAGCTCGCGAAGTGGCAGGACTTGGGTTCTTGGCCCACCCTCTTGAACAAAAGTAGCGAACTACACCCGTGTCACTTCCATGGCAACATTGCCTCCAGTTAGCTTGGCTTCCTCAACGTGCCATTTTGCGGTGCTAGAACGTCTGACCACAGAATCTCACAACTTGACTGCGAAACTCACCTGTCATTCCCCAATGCTGGTTGTCAGAACCCCTTCCTGACATTTCCTAACATGATCTCGAAGTGTCTGTGGCATTTCCACGAAATGAACAGATGTATACTCAGATACACACCTGATTCTTCCCTTTTTGAACTCCCTCCAAAGCGAGCCAAGCCAGGCAGCAGGGCTTCTGTCATCTTCGGGGTCTGCACCTCAAACAGCGACATCCAGTACCTTTTCGTAACGAGCAGCCGCGTCCTTGCTCCTAGTAGCGATGCCAGGAGCCCCTAGTAGCTTCTTGTTCCTAGTATATAGTAAGGCCAGGAGCCCCTAGTAGTGTCCTTGCTCCGACTGCAATCGTTCCATGGTGGTGTCTGTTGGACCAAACAAACACCTCGTTGCTTTTGGCTCACCCCAGGAGGTGCTTCACCTTTGACAGCGCGGCGTCCGGGCTCTTGCCGGGGGAAGCCACTGGAGCGTTGATTCTCAGGAGCCAAACGGGCAATATTGGAACAGGGTGGCCAGCTCTCCTCTATGTTGTTGGTTCTTGACATACCCTGCCTGCTTTGAATTAGAAGTAGCACTTATGCGCACCCTTACGTGCTGCTGCATCTATGATGGTATTTGTCTGATGATTTCTATGATGGTTTCAGTGCCTTTTTCTTAAATCTGAGAGCACCGTTGAGCTAGTTGAAAAAGCTGGATTCGGACAGCAGACAGCAGATCAAATGCTGGATTTGGACACTTGATCTCATGACAGGAGAGAGGTGGATGAGCCAGAGGCACATGTGTTGGAGCCATGGGTGATTTGGGCCACCTTGCCAGCCAAAGTATCGGCGGAATGTGTTGAGGCACTGCTAGGGCATGCCCATTCGACCATGCTGGACCATAGTCTTTCAGAGGTCTTGGAGCCTTGCAGACTGACATCGGCCGCTCCTCAGCACGCGTGGCATGATCTCGAGAAATAGCACTTCTCCAAAAAAGTGAGCCACAAATTGCCTGACTAAATTTCAAGACTCCAGTTTATTTCGCTGTTTTTCCACCAGTCTCTATCAGGTCCGGTGATTTTATGATATTTTATGCAGGTGCTTCAGACTCCTTGATCTCACAGTCGGAATTCTATTCCCGTGTGCGCAGGGCTTTCTTGAAGGTCTGGCCATGCAACATCTGGGTCGAGCTGCGAGGCGCGAACGCCACAGACCGAGCAGTTGACACGAGGTGGATTGACCTTCCCCGTTCGTAGCGTCCTTGTTCCGTTCGTAGCGATGCCAGGAGCCCCGTTCGTAGCTTCCTTGCTCCGTTCGCACACAGCACCCAGTGCCTTTGGATTGCCCTTGGCCGTTGCGTCCTGCGGGTCGAGTCGCCGTCAGCCAGTTTGTCATCGGCCAGCTCATCTGGGGAGCAAGAAGTCTTGGCAGAGGCAGAGTTCGGGAGGTCATGTGGGCAGAGTTCGGCGTCATGGTGAGAGACGCAGTGGAATTAAAGTACCATGTTAGCAGCTGCTAGCATGCGTTCGCATGGTTCTTTGTTCATTACTGTATTTTCTTTGTTTGCCACAGGGAAAGTGTTGGCCGCAGCTTTCAGGTGTCAAGGTTGATACCTCGTCACCCTGATGCCGTCCCAGACCATTCCAATTCTCCATCTAACTATGCCGATGGAGTTCTCTTCATTCCCTTTCAAACTTTGATCGAATCTGCATTCCATGATTGTCAATTATGACTGTCATAGCGGGCAGAAGCTTCAGAAAGGAGCGCAACTAGTTAGATGTCTCTCGCCCAATGGCATCTTTCGGCCGGATCCTCCTCAACGGAGTAGTGGGAGTCTGCGAAGCTGCTTAACGGGGAACTGCTGAGCCCATTGGGGGGGTTTCTCCTGACGAGAGAAGGGACAAAGGACACAGCAAGCGCACGAAAGGCTGTTGGTCAGGCTGGTGTTCGTCCAAGCAGTGTAGACATTTCTGAATGCAGCGGACGGGTCTTGGTCTCAGATTGGGCAACGTCATTGATCTATGTTGCGCAGACAGGCAAGTTGAGCAGGTAACTAAGCCAAGAAGAGCTTTCACCCACCCAGGTAACTAAGCCAAGCATGTTGGTTAACTCAGTCCCAAAAAGGCTACATGTCTTGGTGAGACATGTTGCCGCATGGATGCGCCCGATTGCTATGTAAGACAATCGGGCCCCTTGGGCGGTGCCCCTTGGATGCGCCTCACAACTCACAACGGGACGCGTCAAGACGCACCGAGAAGCACGGATGAGTCGACGAGTTCAGTTCGGTAGAAGGGTTCGGTTGTCTTGTTTTTTTGCTTTTGTACCCACAAAGCCTTTGGTAGCAGGATTCAGAAGTTTTGGAAAGACTCGTTTCTGGAGTTGTTTCCTCTCGCTGCTCAGAGCACCCTGCTGGATGACGCGGCAGAAGTTCTGGCACTGTGCAAGGTGGGTGTGTACTGGCTGAGAGTTTTAGGAAAGCTGGGCGTGAGAGCCATGCCTCCATGTGTTCAATCCTGGCAGCCACCAAAGCATAGAGAGGCTCATCTAGTCATCCAAGGCCAATAGACCCAAAAAAGGAAAGCATCCAAGGCCAATAAACCTGAAAACATCGAAAACCAAACAGATGAGTCTCACCACCATCACAGAGAGTCGACCGTTTCATTGGGGGCGTTTCGAGACCGTTGGCCGAGAGACCGTCGACAGGTCTTGGGAGCTGACCGTCGAGTGCGCTGTTCGACCGGTCCCAACGGTCGCCGGTCGACGGTCGACGGGACTGGTGTCTCAACAGATTCCAAGCTGCTGCTGTTGAGGAAGATGCTGTTGTTTGTCGCAACCTTTGGGATCAAACCAGTCAGGATAAAAACAATTAGACATAGCCAAACCGCTGGATGTGTGATTGGAATTGATGGAATTCCCTCTACTGTATTCACCAAAAGAATAGCTGCACCTTTCCACCAAGAAATGCCCAAGTAAACTTTGATCGAACATTCTGCACCAAGAAGTGCTGCCACGTTATCATTGCTTCATCCCTCGCCGCATGTGGCCAAAGTACGAGGACTGACTGCAGCCTGCTGACTCATCTACTTTGGTATATATAAATCAGAGCTGCAAGCCTCAACTTGTGAGAAGAGTCTACGGCCATGTTTGACTGATCCACAATTAGCACATATTAGCACTACAGAGAATCACTTGGACAAGTTCTGTTTCATGCTTCCTTCTACCTTCAGTCGCATGCTTAAAAAACGGTCGCGCCCAGGATGCACAAAGACAATGAACAGAAGGCGCTTGGTTTGGACTTGGTTCGCCCTGTGATGCATTCCGATGACTTGGCTGCCTGCGTGTGCCCACAGGTCCGGAAAGTGAAGAAGCCTCCGTGGAATGTGGTACTTGGCCTCTGGTCATTCTTCACTTTGATTGTAACGTCCTTGCAGCTGTTTGAAACATCCCAAAGCCCAGTCCCAAAGCTTCAGGAAGGCGGACTCTCCAAAGCTTTAGGTGAAGTGATAGAGTAGGTGCTGCAGCTCAGCGAAAATTCATTGCAGCCTAGACTGGCCACTACAATGACCCCAACGACGTGGTTGGTCGCGTGCGGACGGTCATCAGGAGCATATTGAACTTGAAGTAGGTCATTTATGGTCATTTGCCGAGTACAAAGCTCAGTGATAATCACAGAGATTGTGCATGAATCACGGATCAAGACTGTGTGACGGAATGAACTTGGGATAAAGCGTTTCATTAGCACGCTTAAAATAGCCAAAGTACCACTTCATTATGAATGACCAGACCACTTTTTGCCTATCTGGACAATTTCCTCCCCATGCTTTTGCAGTGGCGGAGTCAGGTAGCAGGGTTTGAACTTTGTGCTCCAGGAGTGCCAAGTTCCATCAGCAGATGTTGCAGGAGGGCAAAGAGCTCGAGAACCCCAGCGATGAGATGTGCCAAGTGACGGCCAGGGCGGGCGACCACCGGGCCGGGCCCCCTTTGTTGGGAATCACCGTGTCACCTTGCGGCAACAGAAGTATCCTGTAAAGAACACATCCCTTTGACCATTCTTGCAAGTCTTTTTGTCTGGAAGGTTCACACATATTACTTGTGAAGACAGCAGAAGCATCCTCCTGAAATGAAGGCAGCAGGTCTTTGCAGCATCCATCGTGTTTTTCACCGCTGACATTTCATCAATGACCAATGGGTCCACATGATAACATGGACTCCAGGGTGATTTGCAGGAGGCAGGGTGAGAGCAGTGGATGGAAACAGTGGAGATAGTGGATGGAATGGATCCCTTCTGCTTCGCGGCTCAACAAGAATATCATGGACCTTTCTCGTAGATATTGCTTGGTTTGTGGCAAACGTGCCATTGGACCAGCCGTATTGCAGTTTCTGACGTTTCTTTGATCGGATGGAGCAGACAAGGCCAGCCTTCATGCGTGACAAGGCTGGCGAGGCGCGGGCTGGCGAGTGGTCTCAGCGAGCCAGCCTTCAACCGTTCGCGGCGCCAAGGGCGGAATGCGGAATGACATGAATGACCGTGTTCGACGCGCTGAGAGGTTCGGATTCCTTCCCTGGTGTTCATGGCATTTACATTGCATTTTACACTCTAATGTTGACCTTTGATTTATCGGTAGGGCCCCCCCCCCTCCCTGAAAGACCTCAAATAGACTTAAAGACTGTTTTCACATGTTTAGTATTGGTAGAGATTTTTCCTTTAGTATAAAGGAAAGGCTGGATTTTCCAGGGGTGAAAACATTTAGCTTTATTTGGGGGGAATTTATTAATCTGTTCTGGGATTTGTTTAGCTTTATTCAAGGGATATTTATAAATCCTAGGTGGACATTACACATCACGCTAGCAGCTGCTAGGACTTGGAAGGACCCTTTTTCACTGTCTCAGAGTCAGAACGTGCTTTGCCGTGGTAACCGGGAGTACCGGGAGTGTCATAGATTGGACCCTTGGGTCGGGGTCGCCATAAACATATCCTTTACGTTAGATCGTGATTCTACAGTTGTCTCAAAAACACCGCTATTCGCAGTTTGCTTAGCTTGTATGGCCTTATGAGTCTTATGTGTGTTTGCATAGCTTAGAAAGATATTTGCATTTCATGCCCTTTTGTCGTTGGTGCTGATGTTGCTGGCTGACCATGCTAAACCTTGTTTGGAGCGTTCTTCCCCAAGGTGGTGTTTGGAAGACCAGTTTTACGTCGATGGTGAACAACGGGTGTGTTGCCAGGAGACCCAAAGTACTGGAGAAGTTTGGAATTCACTCAAGCAAACATCTCTAGCTTCACCTGCACGCTCTCGAGCATGAACCCCCACAGGCTAGTTGAATGCTCAGATGGGTTGCCCTCGGTGTCAGTGAGCTTGAGCTCGTGTTGACATAGCAATTATGTGAACTTTGGCGCACAGATGCGTTACAGTTGAATGTATACAGTTGATAACAGGTAAAATTCCAACACTAGCCTGAGATGATGGGAACTTATACAAATAGCCTTAGTTAGTTCTTTTGTTTTTGCATACAGGAGATGGTGTATGCCAAACGTAGCTTTTCCGGAGGCAAGAGGACTTGTCCATGAACCCGGTGGGTGTGTGGGTCATGTCTGAGTCCGCGTGTTGATGTCGGATGTTCAGATATGTCATCGTTGTTCAGAAACGGCACAGCTGGGCACAGCCTGGCGGAAGCATAAAACTCCGGCCAACGTGTTGCCAGATGAAGTTCTGGAAAACCATCTTTGACAGGTGGGCAGACGGCTGCAGAAAGAAGGGTCCTTTTCAGCACTTGTTCAAGGGCTGCGAAAATTGGACAATAGACATAGATACAGTGTATATATATATATATGGTGCCCCCCCCAAGATCTACAATTTTTGCTTGTTTCACGGTTGTGGATATTCATCCATCAATTTATTGAAAGGGGAGTAACATATATATATAGATATATACACATATGGTACCCCCCCCAAAACCTACCTTTTAGACAATTTCATGTTTGGGGATGATAATCTATCAGTCAATTGAAAGGGGAGTACCATATATATATATATATATATTTGCACAGCCTCGTGCATCTCAGGTGAAGATTATATTTCAGAACAATAAGCAAACAATAACATTATTCAAACATCTGCATAAATCTTAAGAAATCTTAAGATTTCCCTGGAACCAAGAAACCAAGAACTCAGATTGCACAGAAGTTTGGGGATAATCTTGGTTCTTGGTTCCAAGAAACCTTCTCATCAGAACCAAGATTTTGCCCAAGACTTCTGTGCAATCTTGGTTCTTGGTTTCTTGGTTCCAGGAAAATCTTAAGATGTCTTAAGAAACTATTGTTCCGGAAGACTTTCTGTGCAGTCTCGGTTCTTGATTCTTGATTCCTGGTACTTTACTACTTCACTCATCTCCCATCGTATCTTACTTGAGTGCTTCGTCCGCGTGTGCCTCAAAATTCAGCGCTCCAACTTAGAACAAGACTTGCGTTCGTATCTATTTCGTGTCTCTGTCATGACGTCGTTTTCCGTGGCTGGACATTGTGACGTACAAGGACGCGAGGCAACCCTTCGGCTGACTTTGCCAGCAGCACCAGAAGCCGAGGTCAAGATGTGCCGGCCCAGTCCGGAAGACCTGATGTTGAAAGTGAACGAGGGCAGCATTTTCGTTCATCCTACTCGTCAGCAATGCTTTGGGCAACGCTCAGCGCATGGCGCGTCTACCTGGTGGAAGTAGGGGGGGCTGGTCTCAAGAAGCGCAAGCACGTCTCGAGAACTTGCTGGCCAAGCCTCTTAAGGGACAGAAGGGCTTGCTGGCCCTCAAGGATAAATCCTCCAGCTCATCTCCGTCATCCTCAGAGTCCAAGTCACAGCCCGTGGCCAAAAAGAAGCGCGCAGTGAGTGCATCTTCCGGTTCTTCCTCTGACTCTCAATCCTCTGAGAAGAAGCCCACTGACAACGAAGTGGCACTGAACAACCAGCTCCAGACGGCCAAGAAAGACTTCGACACCATCTTCTCAGCTTTGCACCATTGTCAACAAGAGCTGAAAGAAGCCAAGCTCACCATCGAGAAGAAAGAAGCGGTCATTGCTCGACTGGAGCAGGAAATCGAAAGGCTGCAGAAAGAGGAGAGAAATGTTGTGCACCAAAATAACGTGTAAAGATTGGTGGAAAGTTTGTGTGGAAAGCACCTACTTTGTCAAGCTCTCCACCGATAAGCTTCCAAACGGGAAGACAATTCAAAGGAAGGCTGGTACACAAATTGTTGACCGAGCCTGGCGGTTCATTAAAGATCGTCTGCGTCTAAGCCATGCTGCCACCACTGTTGGCTCCACAATCCTCCGCGCGCAAATCCGAGGTGCCCAGTATGAGTACTGGAAACGCACCAAGGATATGTGGCTTTGTGCAGGGGAGCTTTTGACTTAGTAACTGCAGACTATCTTTGTCTAGTGTTATGATGTACGCTAAAGCTAGTTCTGATGACACAGCAAAACATAAAAAATGCATAAACAACGCAAAAATAATGCAAAACCAATCCCGCAAAAACAAGTCGCCAAAGGATGCCTTGGAATGCAAAAAAACGCAAAAAATTGCGAAAAAAAACGCATTTGTCCACTAAACCAATGCAAAAAACGCACAAAAAAGGCAAAAACAATGCACAAAAAAGGCACAAAACAATGCAAAAACATGCACAAAGCATGCAAAAAATGCAATCAAAAAACAAAACCAGTGCGATCAAAAACGTTCTGGTCTTTGCCTTTGCATTCTTTTTGCTTTGTATTTGCGTTTTTTAGGTGATTTTTTTTGCATTTTTTGTGCGTTTCCTTGAGAAACCGCAAAAAAATCGCCAAACAACCGCACAAAAAACGCACAAAAATGCAAAAACAATGCCAAAAAACGCACAAAAAATGCAAAAAAATGCAAATGCAAAAAAATGCCAAGAAACGCACCAAAAAGGTGGTGTGTGAGATTTGGTTGTGCATGTGCATTTTTTTGCATTTTTTTGTTTTTTTTTGAACTGCTGTTCTGTTTTTTTCTGGTTTCCTTTTGCATTTTTTTGCTTTTTGATATGCACTCTTTTTGACCAGCTGTTTTTTTGTTTTTTTTTATGCATTTCTTTTGCATTTCCTGGTCATCCTTTGTGAGTGTGGTTTTGCCTTTTTTTGGTTTTTTATGAATCCTTGAGATTTCAGAGTTAGGCTGTAAGGTACATCATAAGTCTAGTGGCGCTAACTTGCAGAAGAACAAGAAAGTTGTGCGCCATCCGCATGTTATACCTGCATGGTTTTGTGATCATCCCTTCTGGCTTTGATAGCACAAACTATCAAACACTAACTGTGCTAAACTTACATCTGACACCTGCAAACAAACCTCAACCATCTGACATCCACAAGCATCATCTCATATCTGAAAATATCACTCAGACATGCATGCAACAGGCAAAAACGGTAGATCTTTGGGGGGTAACATATACATATATATATATATGTAGAGAGAGAGAGGACCGCACTTCTGGATTTGATTGTGTTTTTTGTCATTGAGATCTCTCTAGATCAACAGATGGAAGACGTTGCTTCAGAGCAACCCTGCCAATGATGACCACAGACCGTGGCAAGGAAACATGAAGTTGTCTTAAACCCCAGCAGTTCACTGGAATTTTAGATGGGTTTGGCCCGGGTTGGCGCTTGATTTTGTGCAGATACGATTCCGACAAGTCCAACACATTGCTGCATCCTCAAAGCAAAACACGTCCTCGGCGTGGAAGGTCGGAGGGGTTGTGAAAAGTTCAAGTTAAGATGTGTGAAAAAACAAAATGTAGACCGGCTAGACAAAGGAACTGGTTTGAGGTTGTTCCCATTCTGTGAAGGCTTCTTCACTTGAAAATTCGTCGCTATCGGCTCTCAAGTATGTGTCCCAGCAAAATCAGGCCACGTGGGTAGGGATGCAAACACGAAGGATCATGTGCAAATGCAAAATGGTTCAATTCTGGCAGAGGGACTGTCGCACTTGTTGGTGAAGGCGACCACATAGGGAAAAAGGTATATAGACAATTTGTTTTGTAGAGTCTCAGACTTAGAATGTAAAAATGCACACAAACCACCTGGCCGAACATGTTTGTCAGGCTCCTCCCTGTTGCATATCATTGCAGTTTTGGAGGGTAGCTGCTTTCCCAAGCAGAAACTACCATGACCGAGGGACTTTGAAGAGATCACGGCAGTGGTGAGGAATGACCTGAAGATTGTGTGGGGCTTAGTGAGGAATGGAGTTGGGATCCTGCCGCAAGCAAGTCAGTCAACAGCAAGTCAACTCCCTAGTACGATGTTATGAAGCACGACTTTGTCCAACATCTTCACTCGTAGCACTTTACTTTGGAATAGTGGGTGTCCAACTGTTTGGCTCTGGACAAACCGCCTTTGCAACTGGTACACTTGGCATGGTTACGGGGCTTTTCCCTTTTTTTTGGGTGTGTCTACACAGCAAAAATGGTCCTTCGTTTAGGTTGACCGGAGTGTTGCATCATATGCAGAAAGAAAGTCTTTTCCCCGCTTCATCGCTAGCCTTTCAAGGCTGAGCGCACTCTGACGAAGGTGGAGTTGAGGCTAGGCAAGGGGGTGTGAAAACACATGTGTTTTTACTTGAACATGCACCTGTTAGTCGGATTTGTGGGCTGTACTTTGAGATGGCAGTTGCACATTCAATTCATGTACAGTATATAAGACTAATCCCGGATGTTCCAGGACAAACACCCAAGATGCATAGACCCTGACAAGATGAATTCTCATGGCTCGGATGCTGTTTGGCTTGAGTGATTCCATGCTGTTTTTATCTATTTTTGGAGTACAGTGACTTTTGGAAGAGAAACCCGTTCTGATAATTCTGTTCTGTTCATGCCCATTAATTGGCTTTCCTCTTCTTCTCTGGTTGAGAGTCACTCGCCAGCAAAGAGTCGGCCATTTGGATTGACAAGTCATGGGAACCCGTCCTGATGGGTTTGGGCTTCGCGGCATCGTTGTTGGTCAGGGAGTTCTACTCGCAACTGGATCAGAACAAAGATCAAGTGGTTGATTGGCATGACTGACTCGCAGATTTTCGTGGGTTCGGCAGAGTTTTGACACGACACTGCAAACATGACACTGCAATATATTGGCATTGTTTTCTTATATGTTCTTTGAAGAACTATAGGAAGATAGATATGGCACACTCAAAGCTCATGCTGCCGCTTTTTTGCTGACACGTTCAGAGTGAAGAGTTCTTCTCTTCGGCTTTGGCTTTGTTTTTCTGAAAACTGCACTGTCTGGTGAGCATTGACTCTGCACTGGCCTGGCAAGCTGAAGCATGCAGCTGTAGGCATTGTAGGTAGGCCCTTCTTTTGGCCTTCTTCGATGCAGGAGTGGCTGGCCTTTGTCTCGCAAGGAAAGCTGAAGGATAACCGGCCCATTGATCAGGCACGAAAGGGCACGAAGCGGACGATTTCATGAGATCAGCGGAGACTTAACCTGAGGGGATTAAGGAGAAAGGCAAAGAAATGAGCACCTAAGCAGAGAGACGGCCTCCTGCTTTCCGTGGACACTTTTGGAGCTTCTCCCGGCATGAGTGAACACCATGGAGGGCATGGATGGTTACCTGGAGTCTATGTGATGCAGCCTTTTCCATGTTTAGTAAGAGGGTGACAAGGCATGCTTCCTTTCTTCACCAGAACCACCTGTGAAACCCAGATTATACCTAGGATCAACATGGATCAACAAGGTTTCTCCGTTTTCACCCTTCTTCTGAGTCACTCAGTCCGTACTCTTCCTGTTTCTAGATATTCTAGGGTATTTGCACAGGAGAGAAACCCAAGTAAGTACCACTTTGCATGATTGAATGGTCCCTGCTTGTGGTCGAGAGCGGCGCTCCGCACGAGGTGATGAAGGAGGCCAGCTCCCGACCAGCAGTTCCGCAGGGGTGGTGCACTCCAGGGCTGTCTGGAAATTTGGATAAATGGCCTGTGAAGTCAGTAAGAGGTTCTTCTTGCCGGCATCCATGATCCATGGATTCCATTTAACAATAAACGTGGATTGAAACCATGCAGCACTGGTTGGACGTGTAGCACTCGTGCTTCCTTACCGCTGTGCCTGATTCCACCAATTCACGGCCACCTCTTGAGGCTCTGTCCCCCCCACGTGCTCTTCCCGAGCATGAAACGTGTCACAGAGAGAAACACGGGCAGATAGGAGATGTGAAAGATGGAACGAAGAGAACGAAGATGGAACCCGTGGCCTCAACTGCCAGTGCTTCGAGAGCGAAGCCCCACCTGTTCGGCACATGGGTTCCGCGCACCGAGCGGTCGCCAGGTGGGCCAAGCCTTGCGTGTGGGTCTCCGACGCATTGGTGTGTCACCGGTGCAGGTCAGCGTTGTTCTTTGGGGCCGCAGATCCAAGCAGACAAGCCGAGCAAAAGACGTAACGACAAGCAGGAAAATCAAAAGCAACATGAAAAAAAGAGCAGTGGATCTGGGGATTTTGCCAGGTTGTGTACTTTGCCAGCTTGATTCCAAGCAACAGTGGTGGGGGGTTCACTCAGTGTGTCATTCAAATCGTCCTCTTGGCCACAAGTCACCAGATCCCGCGCAGGCGGAGGAGTTTGTGCGAAGCCTACCCGAGGCGTGTTCTCATCGCTTCGTTCCTTTTCGAATCCATCCATCGTAGCAGACTCAACAACACCTCTGTCCTTAGCTGACTCACCCCAGCAGTTCAGTGTTTTATTTGTCCACGAGTAGCTTCACGATGCAGCTTGCTGAGCGGAACAGCACAACAACACAACCAAACTACCTGCCAATACAATGCCCTGAAAAGCTCGACGGTACTCAGAAGTCCGCTCTGCTGGCTTTTTTTTGGTTTCTAGGCTTTACGAAGTACCCTTAGGGTACACGATGTGTGATGCCAATTGCCAACTTATGATGTTCTCTGGTCTTGGTTTTGCTCGAAGCAATCATCACAACACCGTCATGTCACTCAACAGGCAAGTGAAACCATTGGCCGAGAGCTCAAGGAGTTTTAAAAAGTTTGCGACGAAAGATTGTTTGTGAAGAGATGGTAGCAACGTCTTTTGGCATGGCACTGTGAGTTCTCCTAAGAAACCGTTTTGGACAACATGCTTTTGACTGTGAATCTTGTCAAGCAAGCATGCACAAGAGATTCCGATGGGTTCCTACTAGGGTTCTAAGGATTTGTGGCTCTATATCGAAAACAAAGGTTGGCTTTGTGATGTTTTGTGGGGATCATGCTACCAATGCTATGTAGATGAGATGACCGATAGCCAAGTGCATTCCTAGTCGCCACTGAGATCAACCTGGCTTCTTCCGACTTTTCCGGAGGGGCTTGAAGATCGACCGAAACGATCCACAGCTGCAAATTGATCCGAGAAGGGCTTTTAGCAGTGCAGACTATTGACTATTTATTCAAGGATCAGCTGCCTTGATTTGTTAACACTAGCTGACATCGAGGATAATGTCAGCAATCACTGTACGAACATGTTCTGTGCTGCAAATTGGTGCTGCTGAATGCTTCGTGTCGAGGTGATACACCATCATTTTTTGCAAATTTGCAAGCAGTTTTATAGCTGCCATCCCAACTAGCGCCATCTGCTGTGGCGAGAACAGATCATGGAACATCTCTCTGAACATGTCCATCCAACCCAAGGATTGCCCAGATGACAACCTGAAGCGCACCTTTGCAAGCTTGGCGCTTAAATGACAATCTTCGTGGTTGACGGCAGAGATGAACGTCTCAATATGTCTCAATTTTCCTCATGGGTTGCTGAACTTGACAAGCGGGCCTACTGCCCACATGAGGGCGCAAAACCCTTTGATTTGAATGCAGATAAGAACAACCATTGGCCTTACAGCAACATGAGCACAGTAGACGCTGTACAGTGCTGTACAATGATCGCTGTAGACGCAACCCGTTGTCGGGATCAAAGCGTTGTAGGTTGGACGCCAAAAGCATCTCGCGCCTCTCAAGAGGCTTTGACTAAGACAGCCAAAGATAGGAGGCTTTGGGAGCCACCCATTAATCAGTATCAATTCATGTCACCAGGGCCCCCAAGATGGAGTTCTAGTTTGATAGAAGAATGATGCAAAAAGCTGGTGCACGTGTCCAATTCGCTCGGCTCTTGAGGCATTGGGGATGAGGAACAGTGCCAGCCTGGCGTGTCTCTTTGATGTGCATTCTAGAACCGTGCACCATGACTTCTGTGCCAGACGTGCTGCTGCAGCCAATCCTGGACTTTATCAAAATCTCCTGTTTGGCCAAGACAAAGAAAGAGGTTTGGAATGCCGGGAGTGGAGGCTTTTGCCGATTGCATGGCTCAATACTTCGACAATTGCATGAACCAAGCAGAGGTGGATGGGTCAAGTTTGTCACATTACTCGTGGGGAACTGTGTGAAGAGGCGTTTGTTCAATGCTTTAAAATGGTTCTTTTGTGCGACATCTGATGTGTATATCCAGATGTATATATCTCCCCTTGCCCATCCCTGCCGGTCCCTGCTTACATTCCCATCAACATCTGCGTGCATACCCTGAGACAATTCACAAGTTGCAGATCGTACTTTTGTTCCACTACTTTACGCAACTCCGCCACAACAAGTCTGCGCTCTCCTGTCGTGTGTGCAGATTGGACTGGAGCCGACTTTCCCGGGGCTCATTGGCGGCATGCAGGGTAATTTGCTGGGGTGCCCCAGTCGAACCACGTCGAAGATGCTCTGACGCCTCAAAACCGATTGGTGCATCCCTGGCCGTTTATGTCTCTTGTTCGTTTTGTTACTCACCAACACACGTTGCTGGCGCCTTCCTATATATAAGACTATACGCAGCTCATCAGGATCTGGATCGAGTCAAGACGGTCAAGTTTTTGATTGCAATGAGGTGGTCATCGCACATTCATTTTTGTTGGTTTTTTTTGTATCCGTTTGTCTGTCTTTTGGGCTTCTGTTGATGTCTTTCGTGGGATTGGATACATGCTGAAGTTGGCCTCCCACAAGGGATTAAGCAGACTGATATACAAAGGCAGAGGTACCGTCAACAAGTCCATGCAAGTGTCGCTGGATTATGCTGGATTCCAAGCAGCCCAGTGACAAATTTGGCTGTGGGTCCAGAGTCCAGACCCTGGCACCCTGGTTGAACCCCGAAGGTACTTGCGCACCCTGTTTGGTGCCACCCCAGAGAAGAATACCTTGTGACCATCCTCGTCTTTGGATCATTCCCAAGGCCAGCGCGAATGCCTCGAAACCGACCTGGTACCTTTCCGCTGGGTGGGACAGTGTGGGAAGCTCAGTACCGTAGCCCGGTTCAGCTGCAAGCCTCACATCGGGCCAGTCTGCATGTTGCTATGGGAGTGATGTATCAAGTCCTGCAAGGCTCCAAATAAAGACATCGTCAACCCAAAAACAAACAGCAGACCATCCTCACAGGCATTCAGAATTCAGGCTTTTGTGATGCTGAGGCTGTGCAGTGTATATGAGGAAACGCGGACCCAAACGACCATGACCACGACGGCAGGAGTGGTCCCACCTGGGGGTCCTTTGCGTTGAACGGTCGGCGTTTGCCGCCCAGCTCCAGGCCGGGCGGTTCCCGGTGCTCACGGGTGGGAAGGGGAGCTCCACCGGTCTTAGGTAGCGAGCCTTGCGCAGGTACATGTTTGACGAAAAGACCGCACAATAGAGTGGGTTTTTATCATGTTTTATCCGGTATGATTGTTGCCGGTATGTTCTTTGGATGTTGGTTTTTGAATGACTTCCACAATAACCTGCGACTGACATCGATTTGTCACTCCAAGCTTCAAGGGTTTGACACCTTGTCTTAGTTAGTTTGCCGTGTTCACCAGGTCCCTTGTGACTTAGTTAGTTTGCCTGTTTTCTAAGATGGGTCGTTTCGAGGCACAGAGGCACATGTGTAGGTTTTCAGCAGCTTTGACTGGAAGAGACGCAGCCTGTTTTGCTCCAAACGTCTCCACCCTGGAACTCCGGTGGTCACCGGTAGGTTAGCCGTTGACATGAGACCCGGCGAGCGGCAACGGCAGCGGCTGCGGCCTTCGATCTCTTGTGCCTTTGGCCCAACGCCGGGCAGCGCTCGGTGGTTTCGCAACCGGGTGGTGTCGGGCCGGGCAGCGGTCAGTGGTTTCGGTGAAATGAGAAGCTTTTTTCCACACCGAACAAACAAACTGGATGGCTTTTGAAACTGCCTTTGCTCTTTCCACAAGCCTTTGGGGCCCTCTGAAGTTCACCCAATTTTGAGAGGTCACTGGCTCCGACCCTCCGAGATGGGCGGAGAGAACTGGTGGATTTCTGGTCTTTCTTTCGATTCTTTGGACGATCTCAGGTCCCGACATCCACAGCAATACCGCTTGATGCTCAGACTGGGCGCTCACGTGAGCGCAGAGCGTTTTGGGGCCCTGTGTACACTAGCTACTTGCTCCTGGTCCTAGTACGGCCAGGAGCCCCGATCGTAGCGTCCGAACGCTCCGTTCGTAGCGATGCCAGGAGCCCCTAATTATCCTAATTATAGTAGCTTCTTGTTCCTACACACGATTTGGCTTCTTTATTTTTTGGGGGGTATGTGTGAGATAGTTTCACCATCACTGATCAACGTTCCTAACCTAACAGTGGAGTGACTCGCCTTGTTGTTGTTGTTGTTGCTGCAGCTTAAGTCAGAGTTGGAACAAGATGGAAAACATTGACCACCATGGCACTCTTGCACATGATATTTTGCCCATCTGTGGGAGAGAGAAACACGAACCAGCGTTGCTGCTTCGCGCTTCGTGACGACGTCAAGTGCTCCTGGCTCTGCACAGGGCAAAGACGGTAACCCGAACCTCTCGGAAAAGACCCTGGCTTTGCTTGAGGCGGCGATGGAGGCGGGTCGCTCACAGCTGAGTGTTTCTTTTCCATGGATTTTCCCTGCCAAATCTGGGACTGGAAGAGGGTCCAGCGGGGGGTATGACTTGGAGGATCAAGGTTCGCTGTAATCCGCGACCGGATTTGGCTGACATCCCTTCATACCATTAAAGTCGATATAGCAATTATAGCATATGACCAATTCCAATCATATGACCGGAGTTGCCCCACCATCCTAGATCATCCTAGTATATATGCTCCATTGTCGTACTGACTGTATTGCTTGCCCAAATGGACCTCCACTGCCAGGAGGACTCGGTGGCGCCCGCTCCGCCTGCATCACCCTTACCGACCTCGACTCGAGGCCTGGACCGAGGCGTGCAGAGTCGTGGGGTTCCGTCGCTCCGTCTCCACGTCGGGAATCGGAGAAACGTGGTGTGGGGAGCAAGCCAAAGCTATCTACTACTTCAATCGTCTGTGGTGAGCAAGTCTTGGTCATCAATGCATTCCAAGTCTTTAGACATCTCTGCTTCCAAAGTCGACAGAACAGAGTGACGAGCCATGAAGACCCACTTGGATGGGGTTCAGCAACTCTTCCGCGTCTTTTCAGACCTCTTCCGCGCCATGAAACCCACCAATAGGGCAGGGGCTTGGAGTCGGAGGACTCTTCTGCAACTCTCCCGCAGGTCGATGTGATTTCTTTTCTCCTTTATCAGGAAGGAAGAACAGGAAGCACACTCAGAGTTCAAGCAAGACATTAACTGGATAGGTTCGTAGTCCATCCGAAAAAAAGCAACTGTTGAAGCAAAGGAACTTTCAAGGAGTTACTTGCACCTAAGGCCATTCGCAAAGGAGGTTGTTTTTTAGATTATTCTTGGTGGGTTTGAGCTGCCTCGAGGGCATACAGCATTCGCTATTCTGTGGGCTTTTCTGATATATGGCTTTGATGCCCAAATGCAGTCAGTGAGGGGGGGAGGGGCTGCCTTTGGGGCCCAGCGTGCCAGGGAAATTTGCCTCCAACAACACTCGGGTTGAAGTGCCAGAGGCATCTGCGGGGTCCGTGATTGACATGAGAAGACACCGAATTAACCATGGACGATGTACACAGACATACACTTTTAACTGTCAGAGAGGTCAGAGGTCAAAGTAGGATCGACAGCTGCCGAACACACGCTGCGTAGAGCGTGAAGTTCGTGCTGGTCGGAGCACCTTTCTTGGCCAGAGGAGGCTAGACTCCCTCCTGGCATCGCTACTAGGAGCAAGGACGCTACTAGGGGCTCCTGGCATCGCTACGAACGGAGCGTTCGGACGCTACGATCGGGGCTTATTCGGTTTGGACTCCGAAGGTACTGGACTCTCAACCCGTGTCAGAACCCTGGTGCAACGACCGGACGACGAATTGGCCGATTCGCTTTGGGACACCGGTGGACCGAAGAAAGCGCAGGATCGGCCAGTGTCCCCTGGTGGGAGACGGAGCTGCACTAGTGGAGGGTTTTCAGAGTTCACATGAGTTAAAGAGCGATGCTGGAAAGAATTAGCGAAGCGCTTTAACTAAAGAGTGAGCCATTTTGCCAATTGGATTGTTGTTAAATAGGTTTGTTGATTTGCCATTATTTGCCAATCAAAGAGTTAGCGAAGCGAAGTGTGTCCAGTATTCGATGACAAAGCTCGTGATCATGGAGCCTCTGATGGAAGGATGCTGACTATTTTCCGTGCGTGCTTAGGAAAGCGTTTGCCGACGCCATTGTCTGAACCTGAGGAAGCACAAGAGGGCTCATAGGACTCATAGGTTGCAGGTTATCCACTCTGCCAAAAGAGAATTGTGGAATACAGAGTTTCTGCAGCCTCAATTGCTTTTAATCGACTTTACTCTTAAAGCTCAATGTACTTTGAAGCAGGTATCAGGTATGCATAGACCGGATCAACATCCCTGCCAGCATGTAAAGATCAAAGGGGAAAGCCCCAACAACTGCCATGAAGACTCGCTGTTTAGCTATGGCATTCTTTCTTGCGAGCGCGCCATAATTGCCCTAAAGTGATTGTTTATTCGCAACACAGAATGCATTCCATTCCTTGATCTTAAAGTCTATCGAGCACATACTCCAGGTCTAATTGATCATTCCAAATCCCGACTGTTTTTTGATTTTGTACCAATCCTGACATCAAAGGACAATCCAAAGCCTCATTATATAATCCATATACCATTCATGTACTGGTTTGCATCATTCATATGAGACTGGAACAGCTCCTGGATACACACCACGAAGGGCAGACAATTTGTTGTGTTTCTCGACTACAAGGCCGAAAGACCTGAACACATGCCAGGCTGGTTTGCTAGCAGCTGCTAGCAGCTAAGCCACAGAAACTCCTCCCTGGATGGCTTCTCTAGGTATTAAGAATGAGAGCGAGTTTACACATTGGAGCCCCTGTGAGCATTGAGCACTCAGGATGCGGCGAATGCTGTCAAGGACCAAGTGACGCTGGACCCCTTTGCCATTTTCCTCAAGGCCGAATGCAGCCGAATGCAGGGTTGAAAGAAAAGACATGAAATATGCAGATTGGTGATCGTTCCATAATCGACTTTAATATTCGTTTGGACCGGGCTGTTTCTTTCTTTCTTCGAAATTGGGCATTCACTATTCGTTTCAATTTTTTCAATTTTCTTGTCTCCGACCCTAATCTTAGTGGAATGTTCCGAACGCAACCCTTCAGACTCACCTCAACCAGTTCAAAATCAAGTTTGGTTATGGCCACTGTCGCCACTTTACAGTACTGTATTTCCACTGCACTAATCTTTGCGAGCTGCACTTTGGAAGTCTGGCTTCTTCGGCTATGCCTATATCCCCCAAACAGGTCGCTTGCTTTGTGCAATGGTAAAAGCCTAAGGGCTCGGGTTCCGGGATGTTCAGCTTCTGTCTCGATTAGGGTTCCTGCCATCAGTATCAGGAGACGAAAGGAATCAATTCCGTTGTCTCCGTACCTAATATCCTGGTGTGTTGTTCTGGAGCCACGAACTCCCAAGTGAGTGAGCCAAGAACTCCTCAAAACCACCGTCCGAATCTACCTCAAAAAACAATCAAACGGTCAAGGACTCAAAAAAGAGTGTCAATTTTATACTTTTTGGCATCCATATTTTTCTTTCTTTCTTTCTTTCTTTAATTGTTTATTTATTTATTTGTTGACTTTTACTTGTTCTTTGTGACGTTATGGCATTTTGGATTCTATTGAGCCCGCATGGAGTACGAAACCAAATTGTGGATTCCGGGCATTCATTCCGACTCGCGGTATGACTGGGCACTAACACATTCGTAGCAAAGATATGACGCAGATTCAAAGATGAAGTGACACTATATCTACCCTACCTTGCTTCTCCCATTCAATTTTGTCGGTCGTATCATTTTTCCACCTTCTCCATCTCCATATATATTGTATAGGAGTAAAGACAAGATAGGATAGGTAATAAAGTTGCTCGTTCTACAGCACCGCAACGGATAAAACACCGATAGATGCAAGAGAAGGAAACGACCGATAGAAGGCGTTGGTTCATGGATAATTAGAACAGATAGGTTTGGAGTAGACTGATGCGGTCACAGCCAGATAGATTCAGTCAATTTATTAGACAGGTAGCTAAGGCAGAATGAATGACGAAAGACATGCGGAAGCAGCTAATCATGAATGGACGCACTGGCGGAAAGCATCGATAGAATAGACGGATACAGATAGTGAAGTTTCCTAGACAACATCGTATGATAACACAGATAAGTGAGCCGATGACAAGAAAAGGATCGATGACTTTGTAGATTTTCGGATTCTATGCAAGTTCTCCACGTTCGCAAATAATATGGCATGACCACAGAGGGCATATAGGATCTTATAGGTATTTATTTACTGAGATTGTTGGTCTCTTGTTTACCTACTAGGAACAAGGACACTACTAGTAGCTCCTGGCCATACTACTAGGAACAAGAAACTACTAGGAACAAAGGGCATCGCTACTGGGAGCAAGGACGCAACTTGCTGAGATTGTTTGTCTCTTGTTTACCTACCTTTTTGTTGGATCTTAACGGTCGGCAGATTCTTGTGTCCATCGATCAATGGGTCCATCGAGGGCGGTATGATTTTTGTCAGAGAACATGATAAGTTGGTAAACAGACAGATAGTCTAGCAAGATACCCAGGTATGCATAGGTAGATATGCCCAGTAAACAGATAGACATACGTTGTTATTGGTATATAGCCACGGATATGTGCATAAAGAGACGCAATGATCAGATCAAATAGCAGGCATCAAATTTAAGGAAAGGAAACTAGCTTTGCTTGCCAGCCGTCAAGACAGCCGAGCTTCACAAACGTTGGCAACAGGGAACTGGCATTGGGTTGTAGCTCAAAGCATACATAAAAAGACACAGCGTGTTTTCACTCAGTTCCTTCTGCAACAGACAGGGACCTCATTCACATCATCCAGACACCAGAAAGGTTTAATTGTAAACTTTTTTGAGTTTTCTGTTTTTACTTTGTTTTCTTTCAATAGTTCTTTGGATATGTTAAGATTATCTTTTTTGAAGTCTATTTCTTGAGCCAACTGTTCGACTTTTTGGATTCCGACTGGAGAGTGCAATTTTAGAATCAGGTTGAACATTTACCGACGCAGCAATTCTTTCTGTTGTGCAATTGCTTTTTCAACGGATTTTAATTTGAATAGAACAAGATTCTAGGTATATTGCCATCCAGCGACTGCATCCGTATGCCACAGTTCGTGATTCTCAAAGTAAACCGATTTGCAATCTAGGGACTCCAGTTTTGGACACGCATGATATACTTCATAATATCAGGTTCATTGCGGCAACCCCTTTATGAGGTATCAGGATTCGATCTCGTTCGGTATCGAAAGACCCCACATCATGCTCCGCTGAACACATGAAGCCTCCACCATCAATTCTGCAAAAAACTACTGCCACTGCTGCCAGTGCCAGGTCAATGCCAGCGCACAAGTGGACCCAAGGCACCTTGACTTCATGAGCAAGGGATGGAACCTTTTCAGTTCGTGAAGTGTGCGTGTGGATGCGTAGTGGTCGCACCGAATGGTCTGACGTCAAAGCATCCACAGCTGGCAAGCAGGGTCTGCATAGACTCAATGCAACCTGGAAAGCAGTGTTAGTTTTGGGCTTTTGGGGCCTAACATGGAGGTACTCAGCAGTCTCTGAAAGATCGGACGGACAAACCGCTTGCTTGATCTATGCAAGCACTAGGCGTTCTTTAACACGTATTGCCGGAAGTGCGAAGACTGGCCTGTGTCTTTGCGCTGGCGCTGGACAATTTCGCGAGAGCAATAGCGCAACAGTCACCATGTAAGTCGCAGTGGCCCTCAGCTTCTTGAGCGGGCTTTCCTTTGCGCCTTTTGCCTGCAACCCTGTACGCTGCAGCTCTGCAAGGACACGCTGAATTGCGCCGGCCAGCCTGTCCCCCCGTGCGGTCACCTGCCAAGCATTCCGTAGCCTGCGTGGCTTTGCTAGACTGAGGGAGGTGCAACTCTGGCCAAGAGGGCAACAAACACTTTATGCCGACGCTGTATCGACTGTGTGACACAGACAAGAAATCGCCAGACGATTCTGTCTTGTGTGTGCAATCGCTTCAATCTTCCAGGCTTTTCGCAAAGCTCAAATACATGTCGAGTTGCTTTGTGAGTGGTTCATGACGGAGCCCTACGCAAGTGCTTCCGCGCCGGCTTGGACCTGAGCCTTCATGTGTTTGCCTTCGCTTTGTGTGAGTCGACTTGAGGGACGCCGCGTGGCTTGTTGGGCAAGATACGGTTTCCAATCATACCGCTATTATGTGCAAGTACTGAAAACAGACTCCTCGCAGGTGACTTCAGGTGACGTAGCGGGCTGTGACGTCAAAGGCCAGACACCAGCCATGTGTGTTTCACCAGGCCATCGCGCGTTCGGAATCGCGCGCATTCGCTTGGCTTGCCGAATTCACACGTTCATGTGCAGCTCGCCTCGGCCCGTTGCGTGAGCGGTTGGCCCGCAAGGCAAACATCACTTGGGCGGATGTTGAGGGCTGCACTTGCTCTGAAGACTGCAACATAGGGGGGTAGGCTACTTTGCAGGAAGATAAAGAAATCAACAAGTAATTATGGCTGCGGCTGAGTGTGAAACCTCTGCAGGTTGAGGGCAAAAGGTGCTGTGCCTGATCAAAGCAAAAACAGTTGTTCAACATCATCAGAACGTTTTGCTCAAAAAGTCATCAAGAATCTTTTTTCAAAGCTTAGGATGTTCCAGGTCATTTGTTTTGGTCCTCAGACACAGCCAGAAACAAAAGTAAGACAAGGTAAGGCAGCTTTGAGAACAATCCAGCTTGAACAAATACGCGGTACCCAGCATGTGCACATGTAGAGGAGGAATCTGGACTTGCGATGTCTTGTCAATTCTGACTGGCGGTTGGTTTCACTTCATGACGGAGCCTGCCACCGAGGAAGTCACCCAAAAAGAAACCTGCCAGGCCTAGACATGATTTGTCAGGGCATGGCCGCGACTGACTGACTCAACTTGCTCTGCTGAAGCACTGAGTTCCAACTAGACTACGCTGAACTGATTCTTTTCTCGCGCTTTGACTCAGAGTAAGAAACCATCCTGACCATACGACTCTGGGCCATTTTGGGTTGAAAGATAAGACCCACAGGAGGAAACCGGCGCCACAGGGTGTGTATCCATTCCCTTCTGTTTATTTACAAACCGGGCTATCCTGTCAGTGCATTCAGACGCTACAGACGCTTGATCTGGCTACCCAACGCTTGCAGGGAGGCGCCTCCGGAGAGCTATCGGGTGATTGTGGGAAAGGCGCCGGCATCCGATGTCCCGAAATGGCAAGCACACAATGAACGAAATTTGTGGTGTATAACTACATTAAAAAAGGAAAATAAATAACTATATATATATATATTAATGAGAGTCTGAAAGGTGAAGACGCAAGGTTTTCCATACTGCGTGCCACCTGCAGCTTTAGGCTGGAAAGGCTTTTGGCCACTGACCAGTGGCCCCATGGCACAGATGTGGCGGACATTAGTGCTGCCACTTTTGAGCTATGGCGCGTGGGTCTTCAACTTCGCTGTGGACGAGGCGCCGGTGATGGATGAGCTGATCCAGGAGCCGAGCACTGATAGCCACGGGCCTGAAGCTAATGATGAAGTCACCGGAGGGTTCTGGTGGCTAGAAGGTGGGATATGGGGCTTTTGGATGAGCAACAACACCCACGATGGCGACGGAGGAGCTTGGTTTGGCCGACCAGGACGACCTGGACGCCTTCGAGGAGAAGGTGGTTGGGCTGGCTACTTCCTTGACAGCATGGGGGTGCACGCCTTTGGAGAATGGTGGGGATGCATAGCTGTTGGCTGCTTGGGGAGTCTAGGCATTGGCCTACTCGGCATTTTAACGTACAGCTTGCACACCCTCACTGGTCCTTGCAGAGCTGCTGGCAGGTTACTACATCTTTGCGGGCGTCTACTTTGCTGCTGCAAGCGAGCCGAGGGCATTGAGGCACACCTACCCAGCACTAGACCGCCAACGGCTGATGTCGAATGGCATGGGCCAAGGACAGGATGGCCAACAGAGACAAGATACCTCCAACAACGCCTCAAAGGGCGCGGCAGTCGACGTCGCCTCAATGATGTGGTGATCCGTCGCGATGGACATGTGGCTCGCCTCTACCAGGAGGAGAGCATGTTGAGGAGGATTGACAGCGATGGGCTTAGGGTGAAGTTCTGCCGAGTGGCGGGCTGCACTTCGAGGCAATTCAGAAGAGACCTGGAGGAAGCTGGAGAAGTTCACCTATGCCGCCAACTTGAATGCCGCGCAGAACACCCACTCCACATCCAGGAGTTCGCAGGGGTGGACCACGAAGTGTTGATTGATCTTCATGCCTATGCTCATGGTTCTCCCCGGTGGCTTCTTGGTCTTCTTGCTCGAGGAGTATGGCGCGGTCTGGGCTGCTTCGTCCGTGCTACAAGGTGCGTTTGCAGGAGGTGCTGCACTAAGAGAGGGGCGAGGACGATCCGAGAACCTGACGGGCATGAACGCTCACTGGACCCAGACTCAGAGTCGGAGGCGGAAGGCGATGAGGCAACCTGCCAGGGTATGAGAATCGGGATCATCGTGGAGGGCGAGATGAGGCCTTTAGCGCCCGATGGGTGTGGGGACCTGGCGACACAGGAGGAAACCACCCTCCTGGATGAGGACATCGAGGTTTCGGACGTGAGGCCGCCTGGGCCTGGTCAACATGCTCGAGTGGCCCTCTGCACCCACCATCGACAAATTTACCAGAGTGCTGCCTCAAAACGAAAGTGTGGAGCGCTCACCTGTTATCGAGCAGCAAAAGGTGCACGTCATGGCGTTCCCCTTTGCTATGATCACCTGTGCGAACAAGGGAATGGAGCTCAAGAACGAAGAGACAGTCCACATCCACACGGTATGCACCAAGGCCTTCGAAGGCGGTTCACAAAACGCCCCTCCAGCCGGAGTAGAAGTCCAGCCTTGGAGGAGACCCAAGCAAAGAACACAGACACTGGAGCAATGGAGGCTGGGAACAAGAAGGGTAACTCCTCCCAGCGTTCGCAAAGTGTTGACCTGGGAAAGATCATGATTCCATCGCCACCCAGAGGCGTTCTGGACCAGGAGGACATCATCGGTAAGAAGGTTTGGCTGAAGGTGCGGGTCCTACAAGACGGCGGAGGTCATGATTGGGTTCCGTGCTTGGGCGAAGTTTGGGGTTACACACCTGGAGGAGTTCGAGGTGAGAATAAGCTGGAGGTCTTCAGTGCCTACTTGGACAATGTTCTCATCCTGGACCCGAAGTTCATGGACGATGTGGGCAACATCATGGAGTCCGAGGAGGTAGATGTCCACAAGGCGCAGGAACTGGTGAAAGACATCCCAGTTGACGCAGAGGGCATCGGGCTGGACATCAAGGGCTATTTGATACCGGTTTTCGTGGTGAAGCGGCTGGGTTCTTGGGAGGGCCGCTGCATCCCGAGTGGGCAGAAGATCAATGGCATCAGGCGCAATGAGCTGCGCGCCAACCTCAACAAGTACGTGCGCAAACATAGCGCGGGATATGTGAAGGGGGAGCTCTGGCCATCCTGGCCGGCAGAAGCAGGGCTCGGGCTCGACGTGCAGGTCAAGGCAGAGAAGAATGTCGCTCCACCCGCTCCTGAGGCGCCTGCGAGGAGGTCAAGAAGCAGGAGCCGGAGCCACAGCCTTTCAAGAGCAATGCGAGAGCACGACGAAGAGCGACAGGGGGACGCAGCTATGCAGGATGCCCAGGCCGAGAGCGAGAATGAGGACACTACGAGGAACCACATGTTGGAGGCCTACATCGCCGCGGTCAACTCTGGGCAGACACAAGCTGAAGCGGTGGAGACGCTCAGAATGATCTATGAAGTCGACGACGAGGAGATGAAGGCAACTTTGAGGAGCTACATCAAGAAGAACGCCGGGAAGCAGTCTGAGCTGATGGAGGCTGGAATCAATACCTTGAGGTACCTCACGGGCCGTGAGAAGCCGAAAGCACCTGAACCTGAGGTGCTAGAGACACCCAACAAGGCTCACATGGACATCCAGAAGGTGAAGCGCCCCGACATCCACCAGCCTGAGAAGACCCCAAACCGTGGAGGACTCTTCCCAGTTCCTTTCGGGGGGCAGGAGAGTGGTGAGCTGATTAGATCGGCCAGCCAACCCAGCAATCGCAACCCCCTCATCATCAGTGACGGGGTGGTCAACCAGCTCTTTGGGACCAACACCATGCAGGACGATGGAGCCACACGTGCTGGAGCCGGCGAACCTGAGGACGATGGCTATATCAGTGCTCGTGTTGTCCACGCCTTGGAGGGGATCCGCAAGGCCACGGAGGGGGACAAGAAGGGCAATCCAGGCACACGGAGCTCCATCAGCAGTGAGGACAGCCTCGATGTCTATCTGGCCCGAGGCTGCAATACCTTGACGGTGGAGGTATGCCCGGATGTCACGGGCAAGGAGCTGTTTGATGCCCTGAAACGGGCGTGTGCCCACGCCAAAGCCAAGCTCCAGCAGATCGAATGGCCATGCTTGGTCACCAATGGCATCGCCTACGGCTTGGCTTCATTGCAGCATGGCGGAAAAGACCACACCACGCTTGCACCATGGCAGCTCAGCGTGGCCCATGCTGTGACTGCCAAACCTCGAGACTTCGACCAGTACGAGGCGCCGAAGGACGACAAGATTGAGCCCAAGCCTCGATATCCCACGCACTTTGCAACCTGGCTTAAGCAGGCCAAGAATGAGGTCAAGATGATTGGATCGGTCTTGGGCTTGGAGCACAAGAAGGAGCGCCTGGCAGCACTGGACCTCATCGAGAAAGCCCATGAGCAGGACGCTGATGTGTGGCCCGAAAACTACTGCTACAGTTTGTGGGAGGAGCTGAAGGCGGCGTGGGTTGAAGAACTCCGGGAGAGCAGGAGAAGGCTTTGCCGCATTCTGAATACCGATAACCCCCGGAAGGAGGACCTGAAGTTTGTGGCCCTGGCTCCAGACAGTGGATTCCGCTTCCCGAGAACCTTTGACCTGGCGCACCCTGAGGGCTACTACCAACAAGTTTGTGTACCACGACAAGCGCGCGCACTCAAGGGGATCATCTACGGGCAACTGCACCACAAAAGGCAAGCGCCGAAGGTGGGTGGTGAACCCATGGCGGAGGATGCAGGCGGAGAGATGGTGGCGGAGGACGTCGACAAGGTTGGGAAAGGCCGCGAGAAGGGGGACCCCAAGAAGAAGAAGGAGAAGGAGAAGGAGGAGAAGAGGGCCTACCCCGCGGGAAAGAGACTACGTCCCAAGGAAGCAGCCGACTCCGTGAAGCACGCACCACGCACCAAGGAGGGCAAGCCGATCTGCTGGGATGGGGCTACGCACATGGGCTGCAGTCGAGGTAAAGAATGTGCTCATGCACACCAGCCGATCACCACTACAAAGGGATTGATCCGGCGAGGGGGATTGAGGAGTGGGCCCCTCATCCACCCCAATCAGGTGGATGGTCGTGTGGCACAACTTCGTTCACAAGCCAAGGCGGAACACGACGAGAAGGTCAAGGATGGTGTCAACCAGAAACAGGGGTGGCTACCACCAGAGGAATACGGGGAAGTCCAATACACCCAGCTCGAGGAGGAGATCCGGGAGCTGACCCGCGGTCCGGACGCAGAGTGGTTGCTTGACCCTGCGCTGGGGGACCCGCAGAGGACCGGGTCAATTTGGAAGGCGAGGGTTGAACATCCCGAAGCCAAGAGGCGGCTCGAGGTCCTTCAGGAGCTGGAGTCGGCCGGAACTTTTGATCGAATCAAGGCCTGGTCCTCATACCTGCAATCCCATGTCCGGAGTAGGTTGCTCAATGCCCACATCGAGAACGTGGCCATGACGATTGACGAGATCCTGCTGGAGGCGACGGAAAAAGGATGCCCCGAGCTGGCAGTGGAGGCCGAGAAAGTGCTTGAAGAAGGACGCTCAGTTGGTTGGGTTGAGGAAGGCCGCCAAGCCTGGATCAGTGCACCAAGCTGGAACAGGGAGAAGGGCTACGGCGAGGGTAAGTTTGACTTTCGCTGCGGAGACATCCATCATTCCTGGCTCTACCTCGACTATAAGGACAAGCTTTCGGTCGGCCCTGAACTTGCCAGTGCCTTGGGAATGGACGAAGGTGAGGAGGAGGAAAGACAATGCTTGGTGCTACCCAGCAGCGGGAATCCTCATGTGGGAAGGGGACTGGGACCCTACCCGAAGGCCAAAGGTCGAGGAGGTGAAGGACAAGGCGCGAGAACTCCGGGCAGGGCTCTGGGACCAAGCCGCCAGTGCTATCGCCGAGCTTGGCGATCCAGCACCATGGATTGGGGCTCGAGAGGCTGAAGTGAGAGGCTACGCGCATGACTGCCTAAGAGCTCACCACGACAAAGACTACCGCCTTTACCAGACCTTCAACCTTGAGGAGCTACAAGGGTACACCTTGCAGTGCTGGCGGCTGAACTGTCGTGGCCAGTTTCAAGTTGACCACCTCATCAGCGGGGACCCTGGCAGTGAAGGACGCATTATTCCCTTCTTGATCCATGGCCCTGACCCTCGCAGGACATGTTGATCGTGAATGGCACTGCGAAGGGTGGAGGGAGTTTCTCACACAGCTGCACCGTTGGTCCCTGGGAAGAGGCCACGCTGCCCGCGCTGTTGCGATGGAACCACCAAGATTGGCAAGGCCAGCCCCAATGTCCCCTGGAGCTTCAACGAGCATCCGGTGACCACACAGGAGCTGATCCTTTTGGGAGCCCAATCACCGCTTAAGCACCGCCCTTCCTTCGCCTATGGCATTCGCGCGCAGGAGGTCTTCGCTGGTTCTGGGGTCTGGACAGAGGCAATGCGTGAAGCAGGCATCGCGCACAACATCCCGCTCGAGCTCTATGGCGACCCGCTGCAAAAGAAGGATCGCCGCCCCGAGTTTGACCTGGAAGACCCAAAGGTAGCAGCACACTACCTCAAGGAAACACAGGCACTTCCTGGACCCAACACGGCAAATGTCTGGGAATTCGGTACTCCGTGTACAAGCTTTTGTGATTTCTGCTTGCTCAATGGCGGAACACGCAACTACTCCGCCCCTGAAGGCCGAGATCCACTGACAAGCAGTGAACGGGCTGGCAACTATTGTTGCCAGCTGACCTGCCAGATGTGCGAGCAGCTCTTCTTGCACGACAAGGAGTTCATCCTCGAGTCCTCAATGCCCTCAGGTCGCTATCCCAAGATTTGGGATCAGCCAGCTGTCCAACGCCTTCAAGAACAGACTGGCTCGCTCATCGTGCCCACGCACTTGTGCGAATGGGGCTGTGCGCCCACAGACCAGCCCAAGTTGCGGTACAAGAAGGGCCAATGGAATTTAGTGTCCCCAGGTCTCTACTACCATGCCCTTCTTTTAGCACGCCGTTGTCGAGGCCTACACAAGCACCTGGATGTGAAGGGCGAGTCCCACCTCCCTGGAGTTCCACGCACACGCCAAGCGCAGGTATACCCCAAGCGCCTTTGTCAAGGGTGGGCGCTTGTGATCCAGGCCTCGTACCATGGGTGGGGGACACTACGAGTGGCAGCCGCCCTGGACCAGCTTGAAGATGATGGCCAACAAGGGGATATTCCACAGAAGGGAACTACACCCCCCCATTTTTCGGACCAGCGCCCAGCAAAATGTGGCAGCTCCGAGGACTCAGAGTTCATGGATGGCTTTGGGCTACTAGCTGGGCTACTAGGAGGAGGTCAACGATGTGGTAGCATCGGAGGGTATGAGGTGGGCTGGAAGCAGTGGTGCTTGTGGCGCAGGATGAGCAGCAAGAGCGTCTACCTGAGGAGAAGAAGCAGGACGAGGACGACCTGTTGCGCTTCACCACGTACCTGGCCCATGTCATGGGGCGGACTGAAGGGACCATCAAGCAGCGGCTGTTTGCGATAAAGGCGGGCCATTTGGTGGCTGGCTATGAGGACCCTATGCTCCACAGAACTCGCATCTGGGCCGCGCTCAGCGGCTACAAGCGATGGCAACCTGCCACCAAGAGGAAGTACCCGGTCCTGCCCAGCATGTTACTTTGGATGCACCAACATCTCGCAACCAGGGAGTCCTTCAGCCGAGCCGATCGGTTGATCATTTGGGCGGCGCTCATGGTCGGCTTCTTCTTTTTGCTCAGGGCCTCCGAGTACCTGGTGACGCTGGGGAGATCGTGGGGGAGCACCCGGACACTGAGAGGATGCGACATCGAGGGCCGTTCAGAGAACAAGCAGGTCAACAACCTACACCACGCGGAGGAGATCGTGATCTACCTGAAGGGATCCAAGACAGACCAACTCAACCAAGGGACAGTCAGGAACCAGTTCAAGAGTGGGCATCGCACACTTTGCGTGGTCACGGCCCTCGCAGAGTACCAGAACTTAAAGCCTGAGCGCTTTCGAGGAGGTGAAGAGCAGCTTCCCCTGTTCAGGCTTGAAGACGGGCGGCCGCTACAACGAGGAGACATCCAGAGCCTGATCCAGTTGGTAGCGGTCGCTGATGGGCAATCCACCACATGCTATGGGTCTCACAGCCTCCGCATCGGAGGTGCCGCAGCCATCTATCAGACGACGAAGGACCTGGAGACGGTGAAGCGCTATGGACGCTGGAACTCGGATGCCTTCCATGGCTACCTCTGGAAAAGCCACGACAAGCAGCGCGAGCTTGCCAAAGGCATGGCGTCAGCCAACGGGCAGCTTCTGGCACCGAGAAGGAGCAAAGGCTCGGTGATGCCCGGCTTGGAGAAGACCAATGCAGCGAGCTGCTAAACAGGGCCTTAGCGTGCATCTCCGATGGAGTGAGAGCCGATGGCTTTGGGCAGTGAATGTTTTGGAGTTTCGAGCTTGGCCAAAAGGCTGCGGAGCAGAGCACAGACAGACTTCTGCTCAGCGGCAAAACAAACGGCCTTGCTCGCTTTGTAGTGTGTGCAAGAAGTCTGTAAAACATGAGAGTCTGAAAGGTGAAGACGCAAGGTTTTCCATACTGCGTGCCACCTGCAGCTTTAGGCTGGAAAGGCTTTTGGCCACTCCCAGCCCGCCCTCCCGCGGCCAAAAGGCTGCGGAGCAGAGCACAGACAGACTTCTGCTCAGCGGCAAAACAAGCGGCCTTGCTCGCTTTGTAGTGTGTGCAAGAAGTCTGTAAAACTATTTCATTACAGTATATCTCTAAGATCTTTTAAAGTATATTGGGAGACTCCACCAGCCTAGTTTCAATTTGGACGAATGTGGTACGGGGTCCGCTTTAGGCAAATACAAACAGTGGTACTGAACCCTTCTGCTGGACAGGTGGTCGATATTATTCCTGGAATTCGGGGCCGTTTTTTGGCCCCAAACATTTGGCAGCCAGGATGCATTGAACCGCGTGGAGCAGCAACTGCTCGAGGCCACTACCTGAGACTCTCACCAGACACTGGGCGGGTTGGACGCACAGATTCTTGGAACTCTAGACCCTCCTGGTCTTTTCTTTGATGTTATTCAGTTTTTATGCATGGACATAAAGTGAGCCAGGAACAGTCAAATCAGTCATGGTGAGTTGGGAACTGAACAAATTCTGAAAGCGTTGCACTTTGCACAACACCTCCAATTACTTTATTTCCTAAGACCTCCCAGGATGCTTAGAGAACATTCTCTTGCGCTCAGCCGTTCACCACATGCATCAACTGCAGGCTGGCGTGGATATGCGCGGGGCCTATCATCACACGGGCAGGACTTGAGCTTTCAGGGGCATGTCTCCATGCTGCTTCTTCAGTTTTCGATTCTGCATTCCATTGCAAACCGTTTTCTCCATCAACCCTTAGGAGAGCAACGGGCCCATGAGTCAAGAGAATGTGTTTTTCAAAAGAGCTTTTAGGGTCTAGATGATGGAAGGAACACGACTTGTGTTGTTATTCTTTCGCAATTAGAGCAATCCGAAAGCTCAAACCCTGCGAACCGCCTTGATAATCAAGCAGATTGCGCTGCCTGTCTTTTTGCAAGAAGGCTTCCGGCCTAGTGGCCAGCCGCATTGAGCTGTTTGCTCGATTACACTTTGCTTCCCATCGTGCAACCGTTTTAACACTTGTTTATACAAGTCGTTTGAACAGCAAGTTCTGATTCATTGAACTGCCTTTGTGGTTTACCGTCGCCATGTAACTCCAACTCTACAGCTGTTGCTTTTTCCTTGCAACATCTTCGAAGATCTGAACGCTAGCTGGCCCTGTGTTGGCTTTTGCGTTAAAGCGGGTGGATCTGCCAACGCTCCTGCAGACCAACCAGTTGAGCCAGTGCAGCCTGAAGTGTCACGTCAGAGAATTGTTTGCCTGTTTGAGATTTGAGACTGGGAGACACCTCACCTTTGCCAAGCTTCTTTGGGGTGATCTCAACCATGGTTAGAAGACGCTGCTAGCACAGGCTGCACCTAGGGCACCCTTGGAAATTTTTAGACTGCATCTCCCGAAGTGGAGCTGTGTAGGGTAGGACACGTGACACTGCTTCTGTCTCGCTTAAGGCGACCACAAAAGCCACCGGGTTAAACGAAAAAAGCTGCAGAGGTCCCGCTGAACACTTTGCAAACCTTGGCAGGCACTCTTTAAGGGCTTTGGGCTCCCAAGTATTCTGATGCAGCGAACGAGATCCAGCACTCCAATTGGCTTGGCTCAAAGTCTACCAGTTGCAAGTCCCACCTTAGGGTCCAGCTTCTGTGGCTGTCCCGAACTCTCGGACCTAGTAGTAACAAGAAGCTACTAGGAACAAGTGCCTTACTAGTAGTAACAAGTGCCACGCTACTAGGAGCAAGGACGCTACTAGGGGCTCCTGGCCTTACTAGTAGTAACAAGAAGCTGAGCGGAAGGGTGGAACCGCAAGGTACCTCTGCAGCTGACAGCTTTAAGGCCTGGACAAGGTGGTCTTGAAAATCTGCCAGGCCTTTGTGCACTGCTGAGGACAGGTTTCGGACGGTGCAATCACACGCACCAGTGCGGTTCTTTGGTGTGGCTCAAAGCAATGATTCACCCGACTGCCTTCAAAGGCGTTTGCATACATTGCAAGTGCGTAACTTTGGTTGATTCCCAAGGGAACCTGCTTCCAGCCTCCTGGTTTCATCATTTTACACTGGATTCCTTTCAGCCTGCTTCTGTGCCAGGACACTGTGGGCAGCTAGCCATCGGGCCCAAGTGCCAGCTGTTCATTTGAGGTGTGGCACGAGCATGTTAAACCTCGAGATCATCCATGTGTCTGTTTTGACGGCCAGGGCTGGCATGGAGTGGCGGCTTCTTCAAGCCGCGTTATTCTTTTTTGTTTGCTATCTACAGCCAAGATTGCCCACAGAATTGGGAAATTAGGTGCATACGCTTTTGACTTGGGACTGCCCAGGCAGCTCAATAGCTACCTGGAGAGTCAAGGCCTTGGAGTTGTATGTTGAATTGCTTTGAACCTCTGCAGTGTCCTCTCTTGTACGTCGGAGTTCAACACCAGCCCCACAACCGGATCATAATGTGCAATTCTCCATTTCATGAGCAGAAGTAAACTTGATACTTGGAAAAACATGGAATGCCGCATGCAGTGAATGCAGAGCATGCTTTTCTACGTCTGCGTTCAGACCCCAAACCACAAGACGTCCGCGGGGAGTCTTTTTTGGTGTTTTTCTGTGTCAAGGTTTGAACATAGATGATCTCTGAGGATAGTAGCGGATGCCGTGCTCCTTCCAACTCTCTCTTTCCGGCCCGGGTACAGTACCCACTGGGGCCGACCCGGGTACAGTGCCCGTGTGCTGCTAGTAGGTGCGGTTGCACGTGGTTTTTCACACTTGAGGCACTGGAGCTAGTTGGAAAGTAGTTGAACTCCTACTGGTAGCAGTTAAGAAAACACTCTCCATTTTGAGCGAGGGCCTTTGTGTGTGCTTCTTTTCACCTGTACAGAGGCTGGAGGGTCTTAGAGTGACGACCCATTTGCGTCCTCAGGTGACGACCCAGCTCAACTTTCTACAGAGCCAGTACTGCCGGAGCACCCAGACGAACTACATATGGTCACCACTCTGGCAATTGACATTCTTTTGACCGTGTAATTGCTAGTTGGGCAACAAGCACTATATATACATATTTATTTACAGTATATAATACTGTATGATATATGTATATATATATAATACATATATATATATATATTTGCACGGACTTTAACCAACTCTGGTGGCGGGAAAGCAGGTGAAGATCACAAACCCCTGTGGAGTGGGGCCAATTTGCGGAGGTTTTGGCAAACAGCAAGGTTTTTGCCGTTTTCGCCATGCCTTGGCCCTTTAAAGCCTTTGACAAACCATGTGTTGGGCCAGGCTCCGCTTTCCAGCAGCTTTCTCTGGAGTTACCTCTTGTGGCTTCGGTGCTAAGCCCAGAGTCTTGGGATGAGATGTCCAGTTTGTATTTCTTTGTACCAAGGGTGTGGGCAGTCGGCAACTCCTGCAGTTTGATTTTAAACATGGAACCCACGATGGCCGGTAAACTGATGACTTTGCTCAGTCTACGCCTTCGAGAACCTGTTTGAGATAGGACCCTACCATGGAGTCCATTAGAACAGGGCATACCGACAGGTGATGTGCAACAGACTGAGCCGACCCGCTGCAGCTGTTTTCCCAGGGTAGGAGGGGAGGTGAGGAGGGCAAGAGGAGCCCAGTCCACGCCTGCAGCTGTTGTCCACGCAGGCTGGACGGATGTAACAATGGATTGATCAACAAACAGGGCGGCTAAAGCCGGCAATCATACATGGGTCATGTCCAGCATGTGCGGTCGTCTCAATCTGCCTTTTACATTTGATCATAAGCCTGGCCACTGCAGGCTTGGTGAATAGGTGGCCCTCCAGTCGCCATGTGTTCGGTCTCCCTGCAGTACGCGCGTATCTCAAGATCAATATTGGAAGATGCTGTCTCTGTTGCATGTGTGTTGCAAATGAAATTGTTCTACATGTCCGATATGATATATATATATACATCATATGTCATCCATGTGGGTCTGAATATGAATCGTGCACTTCCATTTCTCCAGGCGGAGGGTTTTGGCACTTTGCTATGGGCAGACGCTTGGATATGTTTTATTTTTGCGGAGCCAGACTCCCAGTCCGGTATGGATGGTGCAGCCGGTCGACACTGAACCTGAAAAAATAGGCAAAAGGAGGCATGGACACGCTAACTCGGGTCCTGTATACACATTTTTAACATTTTTCAGCCTGAGGTCCTGAAATTCTCATACCTCCTTAGACTGGTCAGAAATCAGGCAGACGAGTTTTGAGATGCAACAGCAGGAATACGGCCTAATCTCCCTCACTGTGAACACGTGGCCAATCATACCCAACGTCAAGGATGAAGAAGATTGGCAGCCGGAGCATCCACCTAAGCGATCCTTTTTCGTGTCAACCTACCAGGATGAAGGACAAGGCCAGCCGTGTTGTGGCGGCCTTGAAAGCCAACTTTTGAGGAAAGGGCCTCTGTGATTTGAAGGAGCTCAAGTGCATAAAAAAAGGGGCACTCAGGGCGTAGGTGTCCTTTGGATTTATATACTAACCTCCAGCAGTTCAGGCAGCGGCCCTTTCAGAACTTAGGAAGAAGCGAATCTGCAGATAGAAAGAAGAAAGACAAGGACAAGGAGATGACCACAGTCGCAACAGCTCCGAGTTTGCTCAGCATTCAAGCTGCAACATGCTCCCGGATAATTTGCTTGAGTTCCAGAACTGCGTTCAGAGGACAAGAAGAAGGACAAGGACAAGGAGAAGAAGAAAGACCGTAGCAGAAGTCGCGGACGAGAGCCTCGCCATGGTTGGCTATTGATTGGTAGTGTTTGCACCACACTATAATTACTATACTTTACCATACCATACCATACCATACTATACCATACCATACTATACTACTATACTATACTATACTATACTAATACTATACTATACTATACTAATGGTTGCGGTTGTGGCTGTTTGCGACAGCGATCGTACCCAAGGGTGTTTGAGGGTGCCAGAGAACGTGAAACTGAGGACAAGGACAGAGAACGAAAAGACAAGGAAAAGGCAGATAGCCTTTGTGTGCTTGTGCCACATGATTATGATGCGAGTGTGGAGGGGAACCCAACATCCCCAGCTGCTTCGTGGCCAAAACGCTGACAGGGAAAGGAGAAAGACAAAGAGAGAAAAGATAAAGACAAAGACAAGGACAAAATTGAAAGACAACATCCTGGGAAAAAGACAAAGAAACAACACAATTTGTTCCCGGATGGTGGGCCTTTATCACCAATGAGATGGGGTACTGGGGCCACCACTGAGGGTTTGTCCTTAGACCATCGGTGGAGGACAGGGTTGGAGCTATGGCTCTGGAGCTTCGCCCCAGGTCACAATTCTTAACTTGAATTCGGGTAGAAAGATTCCCTGCGAGGAGAAGGAAAAGAAAGACAAGGACAAAGACAAAGAGAAGGCCTTGGCGAATCTGTCGGATCAGAACTATGCCAGTCTCGCTCATAAAGGGGAGCCTATATAAATTCAGTTTCATGATGTTTAAGGACACTTTTTGCAGATTGCCAGCTTTGCCTGCAGGAGAAAGAAAAGGAGAAAGACAAGGAGAAGGTGGCGAGCGATACCCCATTTTTTTGCATTCTCTCAAGCAAAGGGTCCTTTGTCTTGCACCAATTTGTATCCCTCTTGAATTTCCAGGACAGCTTTCAGGTTCGCTGTGTTGGGCATTCATTCTCTACAGACTTGGGAGATAATGTCTTATTACGGGAGTCTTATTGAACTTGTTATTGATGTCACT